TTAATTAACCTAAAGTTGGTACCTTTAATTATTTCACAGCAACAAGCAGATACATGTCTTGCATGTTTCCATCACACAATTAAAATAAATAATTGTTATATAATATTATTTAATTTAGAGTGCACCTTTTGTTTTTAGAAAAGCTAGTTTAATGAATTAATTTATTTTTTCTTGTACAACAGTCAAATAATATTCCTATCTTCTCTAATTCACATCCAATAATTACCGAAATAATAATAATTTTGTGGGTCTCTGATCAAATAGGTTTGTGGGCCCTAAATTAAACATAAGCAATTACCAGTTAAATTATTTTGTCAATCCAATGGGACATCACTTCCAAATTTCATCAATCCATAACTTTCACTTTTGAGGCAGATTGGCAGTCCTTCCTCTCTTACACACCCTTCCTTCATCATTATCCAATGTCTTCTTAAACCCAAGCCTTAGCATTTGTTTCTCTTGGCACCTTCCATGAAATTCACATCTTTCGCATAAGTAATTGCCATTTCTTTTTTGTTTTTCATAATTTTCGTGACCATGGGGAATTCTCCAGCAAGGGAGAAACGATCTTTCGATTCTCATGAGCACACCTTGTACCATTCTTATGTGGAAAAGGGGACTACTAAGCAACAATGTGATGTTTGCCGCAAGGAGATCTATGGTTTGGTTTATGCCTGTGAAACATGCAAGTTTTCACGGCACAGATGGTGTGCCGAAAGACGGATGCCCTCAGAGATTACCCACTCTTCGCACTCAATGCACGAGTTAAAACTACAAGATGAGTCTTCGGATTTCTTATGTGAAAGATGTTTCCACAATTCTCGAGGCCCTAGATACCACTGCTACAGCTGCGATGTCGATGTTGATTTAGCTTGTGCTTCTTCAACTAAGGATCAACTCACTCGAGAAGATGAGGGTCTGATACCTGCAGGCAGGGCGAGAAACAGAATCAAGCATTTCAGCCATGGGGAACCATTGGCTCTCTTCAAATATAGGAAGACAACAAAATATTATGAACTTGATTGTAGTTGGTGTGACAAGCGTTTATCAGGCATGTCCTATGGTTGTTTCAAAAGTGGACCTTATGGTTGTAGGTTCTTCCTCCATGAATCCTGTATGTCTAAGATACCCAAAAGACTGCAGCATCCTTTTCATCCACAACACCATCTTTACGTGCAGTACTACAATCCCTTTTATCGATTCTCTTGCAGTGCCTGTGACTGTCCGCTTTTACTCAGTTTAACAGCATACTATGCCTGTCATGAGTGTAATTTCTACCTTCATATTTCCTGTGCTAGACTGCTACCTACACTCAACCATAAGTGCCATAAGCATAGTCTTACGTACTTTTCGAGAAGTACTGAAGAGCGTTTCAATTGCAATGCCTGTGGCGGTGATTGTGATTCCAAAAAGAATAAAGACGGTGGTTTCTACCGTTGTGTGCAATGTAATTTCAACATCCATTTCAGATGTCTTCCAATGGCACCTATAGTTAAACATAGATATCACAGGCATTTTCTCATCCTTCATGATGGGATTATTGAAGATGATACGAGAAAGTATTATTGTGATATTTGTGAAGAAGAAAGAAATCCAAAACATCACATTTATTATTGCAAGAAGTGTACGTATATTGGTCATGTCGAATGTGTTGTCAAAGAGGTAATAAGCACACATTTGGTCATTTACAATCTCTTAGGGAAATTTTCTATGAACAGAAAGTAGTCTCAATGTATCTCTTAGTGATTAAGATAATAAAATTTTTAACCTTGTTGTATTTGCTCAGGTAAAAAAGAACATAATTTAGTGAAAATCAACTATGAATATGATATCTGACTTTTTGGTTTTGGCCATAGGTTTCTGACTCTGAAGTGAGGAAAATGATGGGTTTAAGGAAAAGAGTTCAATTGAGTAATGGAAAATTTCCAGAGCTCAAAGAAACAGTTGGTAACGATATTGACAAGAATCAATTGTTTGAGGTACAATCGTATTTCTTTTTCTCTGTCATGTTTTTAACAAACTTCTGCTTAAGAAAGTGTGGTTTGAGCCCATTTGAATCATTGTTGACCTAAACCTATATAGTCATACTACCTTTATTGCACATGCACACCAACACTTGCCTTCATCCATATGATTTGGAGTTGCTTAATGGAAATGCTTTCTCTTCTAAATCCCTTTTCAGTCTGTTTGGATCATTTTTGCTTCAAATATAAATTTGACGAGCCCTTGAAAAGGATTGAGTTCATATATATACCTTTACAATTGGAGCTTCTAAATAAAATTTCAAGGAAAAATAAACATTCTTAATTTATTTTACTCTACCAACAATTTTCTACTGTACCTTAAAAGCAATGTATGAATGCAATGACAACAAAAACAACGCCTGGATAAGATGATATGTAACAGTGCCATTTTGGGCAGATGCAAGAAGTGCAGCTTTTGTTGAAGGACCTTGAACAAGAGGAAGAGGAAAAGAGGAAGGAGAAAAAAGAGCTAGGCGAGAAGGATGAAGATGAAGAAAGTAGTAGTGATGATGAAGAGGATGAAGAGAGTGATGATATTGATAATGAATGGACTAGTGAAGAAGAAGAGGACG